CTTCGGACAGCAATCAACAGTCAACCAACCTACATCCCAAAGTGGCTCCATCTTCGGACAGCAATCAACAGTCAACCAACCTACATCCCAAAGTGTTTCCATTTTCGGACAGCCATCCCCGATGAATCAGCCTGGAGCCCAGAGTAATTCCATTTTCGGACAGCTACAGACTCAGGCCCAGCCTTCTATGAGTCAGGTTCCATCCTTTGGAGAGACCTCTGGGTTTGGAAAGCCACCTCCTGCTTTTGGAAGCTCTCATATTATCATCACCTCCAGTTCTGGGCAGACTTCGTCCGGACAGACGGCCTCGTCTAACGTATTCAGTGCTGCGCAGAATGTGAACCAGAACCAGGGGTTTGGACGCCAAGAGTTCAGTTTCAAGCCACCCACAGAGTCTGTATTCAAACCCATCTTCAGTAGCAGCCCAGAGTTGGGTAACAACCAAACCCTGACAACTTCTAGCTCATCGTTTGGAGGAAGCAGCTCACAGAGGGGTTCCAGTTCCACTGCCTTCTCTGCTCTGACCGGAGCCAAGTCTGGGCCGACAGGTTTCAGCTTCACACAGCCAGCTGCAACCTCCTCTGTATCCAACCAGCCGACAACTGCTAACAGTAATCAGGGCAGCAGCACTCCTCACTTTACCTTCACCAAACCTGCTGCCCTGCCTGGATCCAGCTCCACTGGTCCCACCACAGAGCCCACCACCCCATCATCCTTCAATTTCACAGCCAGTGCCCTGCAGACTCAGCCAACTCAGTTCTCATCGAATGTTACTTTCAGTCAGACTCCATCATTTGGAGGCATCCACCCTAAGGCAGAGTTTAGTACTGATGGAAAGGAAGGCGGCACAAATGTATTTGGTCGCCTCGGGAAAGCAATCAAGAGGAAGGATGATCCTGCAGCTTCTAGCTCGGGTTTCGAGAAGCCGGCTGCTGAAGAGGATGCTCCAGCTGACACGGATTCACCAAGACATCCTGCCAAGAGGCAGGTAACGAGGTCCCGTGGTCCTGCGGGCTTGTTTGGCCAGGCGTTGAGCGGGATCCGTAAGAACCAGGGAAACCCAGTGAAGAGGGAGGCAGCTAATGAGGCTTTGAGACAAAATCCAAAACTGGAGGAAGAAGAAAAACCTCAGGGGAATGACCCCTCTGCTCTGCCACCCACTGCACAGATACCAACTAGAGACGCTGTAGGAAAACCAGAACGATCAGGTGAGATTTAGAGAATTTGCTCCACAGTGTACACCTTATCAGCCACACTAAAAAAAATAACTTAAACTATAATCATACTAACATGATCCTGGGACCTTGGGAAGAGAAGGAGGCCCACAGCATCACCAGCCTCCACTGAAACGATGACTGGAGGATGTGTTAACATGATCTTTGCTCTGAGTAAATAATACAGATCATGTTAAAGTTCCAGTCATAAACTCTATGTTTTTATGATAGTATGATAGAAAAGGTTTAACCACTTTCTGCTGCTAATCTTTCAAACAATGAGCTTTATTGATGTGTTTGGCTTCGTTAATGGCTTCCTTCCTCTTTGTGGTGACAACTGGGTTCAATCTAAATACCTCAAATTTTTTAGGACACTTAATATGAAGTGCTATCTTCATGGCAGAAAATTGACATCTTTTTCCTAAAAATAAGTGCATTCTCTCTTGAATTGAGGAGATAAGTGAGAGACTTTGCCAATGGAACAAGACAATTTACATTTAAAATAAGAAAAAGCAGTTGCGTCGTCTTATTACAAGTGCATATTATCTAATTATCCTATTTTAATGGTATAAATACTAATTCCATTGGCATATCATCATATTTAACTTCTAAAATTGAGGGTATATACACTTGATTTAAGACACATGTACTTATTTTTAGATCATTTTTGCAGTGTGAATAGTGCTGGCAGTTAGGAACCAGAGGGACCAGGATGCAGGATACTTCTTAGCATCAATTTATTTAGTATATGGAGTTCCTGGCATTCTCAGCCTTTGTTTGAAGATAAATGGAGGCCATTTTCTAGAGTTCAACAAAAATACATTATTTCTCCACAAACTCTTAGTTGACTCATGCTAATGTCCTCACCTACACATTTTTTTGTAGTTCTCCTGAAAAATGGAGTCCCAATTTGGCCAGCATCACTCATGTGCATGTTTATTGCTTGATAAAGTCCATATGGTTGAAAGCTGTCTGGATTCAGCACAGCAGATCAGAGCTCCTTTACTTCCCTGCATAGAGTCCTGTTAAGCCCATAAAAGGTGGAGGGATACACTGGGAAAAAGTCGAAATCTAGAGAAGTCAATTTTTTCTTAAAATAAGTGCATTTGTTCTTGGATTGAGGAGGTAAAAGAGACATCTTGCCAGTGGAACAAGACAATTTACTCTTAAAATAAGAAAACACAATTGCATTATCTTATTTTACGAGTAAAAATACTCATTCCATTGGCAAACTATCTCATTTACCTACTTAAATAAAGGGCAAATACACTTAATTTAAGAAATGTTTACTTATTTCTAGATAGTTTTTCCAGTGTAGGAGCTGTTAGAGCTATAATCTAAGGTATTCAGATGGAGCCCTGGAGTCCTTGTTCTGGCAGTTGCTGAAAGAAATCAGTTTGTGTCCCATCATACTTACACCTCAGGGAAAAAAATTTCTGGGTGACTAACCAGAAGTTCATTGACAATCTAGTCAATTTAAAAAGCTGCTTTTAGTATTTTTCTTTTAAAAAGGATCCAATAATTGTTCTTCCAATACTTCAAATTAAAACAAGTATTTCTAAATGTAAAATTTGTCTCTAGTTCACTCAATTTGCTCAAATGAAAGGTTGGATTATTCCAGGTTTAAAAGCTCCGCTGAGGAGGTTATGATTTCAGTGGGAAAGTTCATTAGTAGGATTACTTGAAAATTCTGAATAGATTTCAAATAATTTTTTGTTGGAGGTGCGCCTCATGCCAAGAAACAACCCATAAAAGTTTGGTAATAATCCAGATCATGTGTTAGTTCTTAGCTATATGTATTGGTCACAACATTTGCTGCTTGGTGTAGGTCTGTGCTCTCCGAGTGCTACTACTTGGATTATGCTGCTGCCAGAAATATTTATTTCTTTTAAAGTTTTTGCCACATATTTATAATTGTTTCTAAGAATTTAATTAATTTAGTCAAACAGCGGCTTCTCTAAAATAGCCTCTGAATGATAAGATGGATTATTATTTCCCTCTGTAGACACAGTGGTCCCTCCAAGCTCAGTGGCCGAAGCGTTGACCCCCGTCGGCCAAGGAGCACGCAGGGACAGCCTGGACAGTCTCAGCGGGTTGTCTCCCAGCGATCTCACCACCATCATGTGCAGGAATATTCCTCCAAGCCTTAACAAAAAAGACGTGATCGAGAAGCATTTTGCCCGTTTTGGAAAAGTCTGTAAAATCTTCTGCCGACCCAATAAGAACCTGGCGATCGTTCACTTTGAGGACCATGTGAGTTATCCATGATTTGGTTTAACGTACTCTACGATTGTTCTGACTCACACTGAACCACAGGACGCTGCTGTTCTTGGTGTCTTAGTGGAGAAGCATCTTTTCTGCAGTGAAGTGTTTTCTAATTTTGTTCTGTTTTCGTTTTTTTTTTTTTTTTAAGGTTTCCGCTGCCAAAGCAAAAAGGCGAGGAAAAGTCCTGCATGGAGAGGAGCTGCTCCTCCTCTGGCAAAAGAAGAAGCAAAGTAAATCAAACTCATTTACAACTATCAACCAAAACTACACTAAACTTCATAGTACTGATGCTAAAAATCTAAAAAGCAGGATATGAAAATGTTTTCAGATTTTATGTTCTCTGGAGTTTAGCCAGATGAGGCCAAAAGAGTTATGGTTTAATAGAAGGTTGTTAAAATCCCAATAATTTGCTGGAACTCTTCCAGTTACTTTACCCACAAAACTATTTTTTATCCATCAACAAACTGATGACATTTAAGTCTGCCTTAAAATAAATCAAGCTGTCTGTTGGTCAATGTTTTAATAAACCATTCACCAGAAATCAGCAGCTTTGATGCTTGACCTTATGCCTAAACTTTATGATTAGGCTAAAGTCTAACTGACTATTAATGAAAGATATCTGGTTGAATCTAAAAGAAAATGTTAATTAATTGATAATTACGTCATTTTTGGGGGGATTTCTGTTACAATTTTAGCCGATTTTACTGTAAATTGATGAATGGATGTGACCCCAGACACTCTTACTGTCTGCCATGTTCAGATTAAGTTTATTTAACCAGACAAGGTTGTTAGGAACTTTAGCTCAAATGCTTTTATTAAAGCTTAACTAATACATTCCAATTGAAACATGTTTCCTTAAGATGTTTTTATGTTTATTCTTTGCCTTCTTGAAGTGAACAGTGGTTTTTATGACTCAAAGCTGCTGTATGTTAGGTTACTGTTAGCTTGTTAAATCTGCAGCTGTGTTTATAATCAGTCAGTACCACAGCAGCAGACCTAAATAGAGCTCCTGGCCCCCATTTGGTCCCTCTAACAAAACTTTCTGGATGGACCCCTGTAACATCGGAGATGGATCAGTGGTTCTGGGGTCGTCTTTTAGGCCCTGACTGAGATCATACTAATATTGTTAGTTTTTTTTTTTAGATCATATTATAGATACTGAGTTGTTTTATTGGTTCATTTCAGGTCCCGGTGATAAAAGCAGCAGATCTCCGCCAGAAAAGGACAAATTTGCAGGAGAAAGTCCTAAAGTTGAAGAGCCCAAACCCGGTTCTTCCCCTCTCAGGCGACCCACACTTATGCCCCCCACAGTCAGCAGCCATCTCACCTTTAGACAAAGGTAACTCCTGTGTTTCAGAGCCTGTTTTTTACCCTAGTTTTGTTCCTACAGCTCATGGTCTCTTTTTATGCAGCTCTCCTTTGAGACCGTCTCCATCCAAGCAGCCGCTGTTTGATCCAGAGCCTCAAAAAGAGAACCTCACAGAGCCGCAGAGCTCAGAGCGAAATGTCCCGTCATCCCTCAGCCACCTCATAGGACAGTTCGCAGAGACTGCCGAGGACAGATACCGCATCCTGGAGCAGAGAGACAAAGTTCTTCGTCAAGGTGAGGGAATCTGTCGACACATCTGAGACCCTGATGTGAAAAAAACCTAACCCTGTCCACATGTCCCCTCAGAACGACCAAAGAGGACAGACTTGGACCTGTCCAGGGTTTTTGTAGGGACGTGTCCCGACATGTGTCCAGAGAAGGAGAGGTACATGAGGGAAACACGGAACCAGCTCAGCGTGTTCGAGGTTCTCCCAAACACAGAGATGGTGAGGGTCTGAAACTTTGCTTCGTTTTAATCTGGAGTTTAAATCCAAAAGGTTTTCAGTTTTACCAAATATGATATGAACAGACGGAAAACGCCCATAAATGATGCTGGTCAAATCTTGAATACAACCTTTGAAAGTGGAACTACAAAATAAAAGTTACATAAATGCAGTAAAGCTTTCTTTTATAAAAACGAAACCATATGAAGGTGAGGATATTAGCAAATCTCAAAGATTTCACTGAAGAAATAATGTTTTTATGTTAAACTTCAGGAGGGTTTCAGTAAACCATACAGCTCCTATGCAGCGGATAGGAACGTAAGCTGGTCCCTATGCTAAATTAACTATCCATTAGAAGCTTTCACTTTCTGTACTTTTTAGACACCACTAATCATGGCAACCGCTGACGCTCTTCTCTTTGCACTATCGGGATGGACCCCAGGTGTCCAACATCTGTACTGCAGGCAGGACAGCCCAGCAGCTCCACCCTCCTGTGGTCTTGAAAGCAAAAGTTGTTGTTTATTTATCTATTTGGCCCCGTTAGCCACATCCAATGCTCTGCTGTTCTTCCTTGAGTTCATTAAATTGAAATATATGTGAAATTACATAAAACCAAAAGGATTAATTAACAATATAAAATGATGAAATTAGATCTGAACAAGATGATCATTTCAATCCACAGTATGAAAAGTCAACTTTGCATAAAACCAAGATAGTCATATTGTTAAATTACTCAAAACAATTACAGTTAACCACAAAGAAAGATGTTTACACAAACAAAATAAATCACATCTCTTGGCACACCAGCTACTGGAAACTTTGGTGGATTAGATGACATCCTACTGACTAACAGGCTGGATGCTCGCCTTCCTAATAAACATGGTGGACATCTTGCGATTTAGGACATAAATGTCACAAATATCAAGAGAACTTTTAAAAAGTTAAAAACATCAGTTGTTCCTATTTCCTCATGTACTGTGATGTTGTAAATTTGCGGTTAGTGCTGTACACGCCCCTTCCAACCGGACAGGATATTATATCATCTCCAAATGAAGCGTACGTTTATCAAGCATAACGGAGCCTTTAATGTCAAAGTGAAGGCTGCGTGTGAAATCTCAAAGAACAAAGCATTTCTAGTCGTTTCATTTAGGCAAATTAGAATGGATGTGGTGCTGGGTTGGTCAGAAATAACTGCTGCCTAAGATTCTTCCAGATGTTTTGAAGGTTTTAATGCTGTTCTTGTTATTATTAGCTGTTCTTAAATATGTAGTTTGCAGCTCTAACACACAGGAAGGAGCTGATGTTAGTTGCAGAGCGCACACCTTTGCTTTTATTGAAAACCCTCAGATATTTTTAAAGGATCCGTCTTCTCTTCCAACCAGGTGGATCATGAAGCGGCTATAAAGGAGTACAGCCGTTCCTCCGCCGACCAGGAGGAGCCTCTTCCTCATGAGCTGCGGCCCCTTCCGGTGCTTAGAATGACCATGGACTACCTGGTGACCCAGATCATGGATCAGGCTCAAGACAACCTGAGAGACTGGTACGACTTTGTGTGGAACAGAACCCGAGGGATTCGCAAGGTCAGGACCGAAGCAGCATCTAGCAGCGGTTTTTAAAACGCAGCTGTTTCACCTTTTGCTCCGCTGATCCATCCCACAGGATATCATCCAGCAGCGCCTCTGCTGCCCCGACACCGTGGCGCTGATAGAGAAGTGCACGCGCTTCCACGTGCACTGCGCCCACCACCTCTGCGAGGAGCGCCTGTCGTCCTTCGATGCCAAAATCAACAACGAGAACATGACCAAGTGCATGCAGAGTCTGAAGGAGATGTACGAGGACCTGGCCACGCAGCAGACCTTCTGCCCCCGGGAGGCAGAGTTCCGCCAGTACAGCGTCTTGCTGAAACTCAATGATGGCGACATCCTTCGGTCAGTCGGAACAAACCCCACTCGATGTTTCACCTAAAACAGGTCCGGCTGTTAGCTTCAGCTTTTATTGGACCGCTTTAATGTCCCCACAGGGAGGTGCAGCAGTTCCGCGACGAAGTCCGTAAATCTCCTGAGGTGAAGTTTGCCGTTCAAGCCTTTGCTGCTGTTAGCAGCAACAACTTTGTGCGTTTCTTCAAGTTGGTGAAAAGAGCTTCCTACCTGTCCGGCTGCCTCCTACACAGATACTTCAACCAGGTGAGGAACCAGCAGGGAAGCTTTCCTCCTTCACTTTCTGATTAACTTTATATTTGATTCACAGTCTGTTTTGGATTGTCTGCATAAACCATTAAAAGTTCTACATTGGATGAACAAATGAAATGTTTCTGATGTTTTTGTTTTAAGCTGCTTCTTCTTACTCTGTTTCAGGTCCGATCGAGAGCCCTGAAGACCCTGAACTGGGCTCACACTGTGGGTCCGCGATCAACCCCGTTTCCGGTGGACGACATCGTCCGAATGTTGATGTTCCGCAGCGCCGCAGAGGCGACAGACTTCATTCAGCAATATGGGCTCAATGTTAATGATGGGTGAGCCTCAGCAGCGGTTTGACCATATCATGTTCAGTTCTCCTTCTGAGCAGTTGGACCTTCTCCAGGCTGACTCGCCCATTAGAAGGTCGGTTTCTAGCAGAACTCTGTCGGTTCTCCTCAGGATGGTGGAGCTGAGTCGGACGTCCTTCCAGGAACCGGAACTGCCGCTGTCTCTGAAGAGGTCCGACGTGATCCTGGCTAAGAAAGCGGCTCTGATCGGACAGGTGGTGAACGGCGGTCCACTTCCAAACCCACCTCGGCACACTCCCGTCTGCAGCTTCGACTCGCAGAGCAAATTCCGAGGAGACGGCGTGCTGACAGAGCCCAGCTTCAGCTCCATTAGAGGTTTGTTTTCAGCATTTGTGTGCAGTCTCATCCTTCTCTCTCAGTAGAACCTAAGGAGCTCCTGTTGTTTGTTTCAGCTGACGCTGTGGAGGTCAGCTCCCCGCCCCGCACAGAGGTGCCCCCCCAGTTTGCGTTGATCAAAGCTCTGGATGCTCCGACCGCTGCAGCTGAGAGGGGAGAATCGTTTCAACCTGCAGCTCAGCTCTTTCAGCCTATCCCTCAGCCTGAGCTCATCAAACCTCCATCACCTGCACCCAAACCTCAGCCGGTCTACAGCGAGGAGGTGGGAAGAGCCCGGCAGGATTTTCCTGCTCTATAAACTCTGCTTTGGTTTGTACTCAGCCGCTGTTTTCTTCCTTCTGTTTCAGGACATCATGGCGGAGGTGGACGCTGTGATAGAGGAGGTGGTTGGAGCAGAGGTCAGGGCGGTGGCTGATGGTGGCGCCAGCTACGCCAAAACTGCTCTCATGTAAGCTAACAGGATTGGATGTTGTGTTTGAGGCTATGCAGGCAGTTCAAGCGATTGAACGTTGCTGTTTCTGCAGGGAGAGCAGTGTGCAGGTGGAGGCTCTGGTGGGTGAGGTGTCAGAACAGATGTTGAAGGAGATATCAGCTACGGAGATCAAGTTAGAGCAAGAGCGACTTGCTGAAGAGAAACGCAGACTCGAAGAGGCCAGGTCTGTTCCCTGATGATTGTAATCAAACAGTTTTTAACAGGAACTCCAGCAGGATAGAGGATCAAAAACATTATGAAGGTTTATTTTTGTCACAGCTCACCTCATCTTTCTTTACCATATCTGTTTGTTGAAGGAGGAGGCAGGAGCATGAAGCTTTCCTGATGCAGTTCAGTGGTTCTCTCTGCACAGAGATTATCCATGAGGTGGTTGACGAAGCTGTGAAGGAAGCCGCCACCTCTGAGATCCAGTAAGATTCTCTGAACCTTGAAAAACTAAATCTATAATGTAGAATCATGGTGGAAAGGAAGTACTTATTGTTTTCATTCAGTTTTTAGGTATCAGGACAAGTTAAAGTCGTAGGGAAGTCATATTTAAATTTCAAATCATTCTGGCTTAAACATGTTTATAACTGTACTCTTTATCGAACTATATTGTTGCAAATTTTCTATAAAAAAAAAAAAATCCTGTCTAAAAATCAGTGTTTTTTAGGCAGTTAGTTATATGTCAGCTTGAACACCTAAATCCGGCCAATCATATATCATGGTCATCTGTCTCAGTGTTCACGGGGATAGACGTCTGTGTGTTCAGCAGGTGTAGAGCTAACAGAACTGGCAGCGTTGCGAAGCACGGGTTCAAACATGTACGGCTGTAAGCCTTCTACACCAAACCGAGCTTCTGCCGCCCTGGCGTCCTCTTCCACAACATCTTCGTCCCCACTTTCCTCCTCTAAATAAAAAGTATATGATGGAGGAGACTCATCTACGACCTCCGACACAAAACTCTCCTCCTCTTGCATGTTTCTGCTGTCCATAGCGTTCCTTGAAAGTGTTGTTGCTAAGTCAACAATTTAGTGCTAGTAGGTTCCCAATGGAACTTCCCATTGGGAACCTACTAGCACTAAGTTGCTAATTGGTTAGCAAGATGCTTCTGATAAACTGGCCACAACCAAACTTGCTTGCGAACCTTCCGCCACAACAATCCCGCCCCCTTGATAAACGACAAATTCACTTTATTTACTCGTGTAAAGTCGGGCACCACTCGGACAATTCGGAATCACGACGGTTGGAACAGCCACTTCCCTATGACTTGTAATCAGCTGCTTTTCAGAAAACGGTATAAACTGATATTTAATCGGTTACATAAATTAAACCAAGAGAAACCTGACATGAAAAGCATAATGCCAAGATGGAAAGACATCAGCAATGAGGTGAGAGAAGCTGCTGATGCTGCCTGTTAATCTGGGAGTGGTTATAAGATTATCTCCAGTTTCCCCCATCAGATTCAGCAAAAGGTCAGGAGCTTGGAGGAAAGACCAGAAACCTCAGACCCCACAGACCCAGTTAGAAGGTTAAAGGTCATAACAGGACAGTTTGAAAGGTTGAAGGAGAAATCCTCTGCTGGGTGGCAGCAGGACTGAGGTCCGCAAAGCTGCTTCTGGGACAAAGTCAAAGACGGATGAGTCCAAAAGCCAGAAGTTTGACCATAAAGCATAGAACCATGATTGGAGAGAACCAGACATCAGCACAAACGCCTCAGACCAACAGTTCAGCTCAGCAGTGGAGGGAGGATGGTCTTTGCTCATGTTTTGTTGCTACAGAAACGGGGAACCATGCAGTCTGATGGCTCTGCATCTAAAGAGGAGTTGGATTAGAGTCCATCTGTCTAACAGCTGAAGCCTGGACCCAACTGGGTCACCAACAGAACAATCCTCCCAAACAGTAACTAATCTAGAACAGTGTGACTGAAAAAGAAAATAATTCAGCTGCTGGAAAGGCCTAGTGAAAGCCCAGACCTCTGTCTGTTTAAAATACTGTGATGTGACCTAAAATCCACCATAAAGAGAGAGTCTTAGTCAGACAACCTGATCCTTCCTTTGGTCTTGCATTCTGTTGCTTTATGGGATGTAATTAGACACGTTTTTAATCTTGGCTTCATCTTTGTAAAAATAAAAATAATAAGGATGGCATTCATCATATGCTGAGGCTTAAAAGAGCCTAAACTTAACTTTCTTCTCTGTTACTGTTCAGACTATCAAGTGTGACTCTTACATTTTTTATTTTTTTTGCTTTCAGGGAAGCATTAAAGGAGAAAGCGGTGCGTTTTGCTAAATGCACCGAGCAGATCTGGAGCAGCTTGATTGAGGAGACTTTGAACTCAGACATGGCCCAGCTGGCAGAAGAAGTTCTGGAGGCGGAGAAGGAGCTGATCCGCAAGTTCATCAAAAGGTTAAAGCCAGGCGGATATAAACATTGTTGCTCAAACATGTTTCCTGTTGGCCGATTAGATAAACTTTGCAGAATTGTTTGGTTTTTAGAGGATCTGTGATGTTTGCTGTTTAACCCACCAGGTGGCGTGAAGTGGTCGCAGTTCGCCGTCAGCTGAAGCGACAGATGAGAAGTTTTCCTGCGGCGCCATGCTGCGTGGACCCCCGCTTCAAGCTGAGGGCCCTCGCTCCCAGCGCCCCCGCACGGCCCTCCATGGCCGATCTGGCTCGAGGTCTCGTGAACCTGGGGAACGGCGGCTTGTTGGCCGTGTCCAGCACCAGGTGGGTCCATACCGCCCTGTACTTGGTGCTGAGCGCGAAGCAGCTTTTTAACGTGTCTCCGTTTCTTGCTCAGGTTGTTAGAAATGAGACGAAGCGCCGTCCACCAGATGAGAGTCCATTTCTACTATCAACAGCTGCTTGAGTAAGTCCTGACTTTATTCAGATCGCGGTTCATATCCTAAAGCAGCACTTTAAACCGGTTCTGTTTGTTTCAGGGAGAAGTCCTGGAAGCCTCTGGATCTACCATCCCTGGCTACAGAAAACGCTCCAGCCTCCATTGACAGGATCTTCTGGAAAGCTCTGCTGCTCTTACCCAGCGATCAGGAATGCAAGGTTAGCCCAGCAGACAGGTGAGCATCACAAACTTTTATTCTTTCTTTTCTGAATGGAAAACTTCTTTATTTCACAAACCGATTCTGTTTTCTGAATTATCAGATTATTTTGACTGGATTTGGATGGAATATATCAGGGTTACAGTTCATCAGCCTTTTGTCTTTGAAGCTTTTATATTTGCAGCTGAGTCAGAGGGTCAGTCAGTCAGAAGAAATTATGCTTTGGGCAATGTTTTCCACACAGAGCCCCGTAATGCTGCATGTTTTTAATCTTTCCGCATGTTTTTAAAAAGCCACAATAATCTTTTTTTATGTACAAAGAAAACACTATTTAGAAACGCCTTCATTAACAAAAAGGTTCAAACCTGCATGTGGAAAATATTCAATGTTATATTCTGGTGCTCGCAGATTTTACCACAAACATTAGAAAGGTTTTATATTCACTTTCAACGGTACCGGGATAATTTCCGACACTGCGCCACTCTGAACAGAACAGAATATTTTAGTAGGGTTATGATCCTGATGAACTGACTGCACAGAGGAAGTTTTAAGGTGGACTTGCTCCTTTAAATAACATGTTTAAACAATGTTTTTCCTCCTCATCAAAGCAAATAAAGCCAAGCCACTCTTTAGATTGAAAGAAAATGATAGAACAGCTCAAAAACCAGAGCGTTGAGCGTCAAGGACGTCCAGGTTGAGGCATTGGGCGTCACTTTTCATTAAACAAACAAAGTAAATAGTGAATATTAAGATTGCTTTCTACTTAAGATATGAAACATGAACCTTATAATAATTAGAAGAACCCCCTTTGAAGTTTATTTCTGCAGAAAGGAATTCCTGCATAAAAGTTACGGTAGTTTTTAAGTCTTGCAACAGATTCTCAGTTGTTCTGGACTGACTAGGTCATTTTAATAAATGATTCAACCAAACCCCTTCTATTGTAACTCATGGTTCTTCTATTTTTTATTCAATATCTGCTAAAACAAGCAACAGCATGGATCAGATCTCTAAAAAGGTCAAAAGATACAGGTTTTCAAAGGTCGATATTTTTTTTCCCCCAATGTATTTTGCCAATGTTTTAGTTTTGGCTGATTTTTGGAGCCATAATTGCTTTTTCTTCCTCCATTCATAAAAAAAAAAAATTGACACAGTTCTGACAAACGTTGTCAGCTTTTTATTTAATACATGGTTAATAAAATCCTTTTGCTGCAGTAGACAATGTTTATTGTGCAGAATCGTGGGCAGAAGTGCCTGAATTTGAAAGGTTGATTATGCTGCCACCGTGTTTCTGTTTAAGGATGGTTTAATGGATTTTAGTTAAATATGGAGAAGATTAAGTTTGGGTTTAGAAAGTTACTCAGAGGTTTCTTTGTTAAATTAAAATGTTATGTAGACTTGGAAAAGAAAAATGCAAACAATTTGCTGGTATTTTAAGGTATAAGAGCTCCATGGTGTTTTTATTTTTTATGATAAAACAGACATTTGTTTGAAACGTCTCTTTAATGTGTCTGATTGTTCCCTGTGTCTTTTTTATAGGATCCTGTCAGATTGGCTGGAGGTGAAACTGGGGCGTGATCCAGAATGTGAGGAGGAGGAGGAGACAGACGGGAGCCTGAAGACGCTCTGCGTCTCCAACAGTCTGCAGGAAAAGGGAGAGGGAACTTATAAAGTCCACATTACAGTCAAGGTTAGATGAAAACATGACGCTCAAGTTGTAGAAGAGCTTAAAGGTGGAGATTTACACATTTCTGGGCTTATTAGACTCAATAAAAAAAGATTCTTTATTATTTTAAAATTTGATTTGATTCCAAAGATAAATGTCTCAATAAAACACAATTTAACCTTCTAAAGAGGTTACTTTAAACCTGTTAGACTGAGCAGCGTTCTGCTGTGTCCTCCAGGCTTCCAGAGGTCCTCTGACGACAGCCGGCCTTTCTGGAGCGGAGGAATTCTGTGAGCTGCATGGCACCAGAGCCATCATCATGCTGCTTCCTGCGCAGCCCCTCGTGGAGCCGGAGCAGGAAGAGCAGGACGTTCCTCTGCTCTCCGCTCTGCTTCAGCTCAAACAGCTGCAGCAGATCAACAGCTGGAACTGCCCGCTGCCTCTGGTCATCTTGGTACCCTGGCCCCACAGCGATGCTGACGCCCAGAGACTGGAGGAAGGTGATTGGAAAAGAAATCCAACCAGTCCTCTTTCTAACCATCTATACATCTGTCCAATTAACCAACCAAAATACCATTTATCCTCACATCCACACTTGGAAAAATCTAAATCCGTTGGAAAAAAGTTATTTTTTCTTAAAATAAATGCATTTGTTCTTGCATTAAGGAGGTAAAAGAGACATTTTGCCAATGGAACAAGACAATCTACATTTAAAATAAGCAAACACAATTGGATTGTTTTATTTCAAGTGCATGTTATCTAATTATCTGATTTTAAGAGTAAAAATACTCATTCCATTTGCAAAGTATCTGATTTATCTACTCCAATTAAGGGTAAAGACACTTAATTTAAGACATTTTTCACTTATTTCTAGATTTTCCCAGTGCATCGATCTAACTTTCTGTTCATACATTAACCCATGTATGCATGTCAACCCTTTATTGATAATGTTTGTAACATATTCAGCACTTGTTTAACTTGGTAGAAGGATGCTGTAATAACATCCGATGATCTCTGGTCTCTCAGCCCTGAAGCTTCACGCTCTGATTAAAGAAGAGCTCATCTCTGAGTTCCTGCTCGTCTTCATACCAGATTCAACCAGTGACCTGCAGGGATCCGAGCAGGTAAAACACAAATACAACTTTAAGCTCTTTGAAAAGTGTTTTAAACTGAAGTTTGTCAGCAGTTTTTAAGCTAAGGCTGACTGTTGCTAACAAACTAGTTCTGAGAGAACAGAAGTTCTTCTACTTTGGCTTCCTTTCATTAATCTACACTTTAAGTGATTTCAAGTATCTGGAATCTCTTCTTAGAAGCTGAAATAACTGAATTTTGATTTAAAAAATAACTAAAATTAATAAACTCCTCTGCCTCCTTTTTTTGTATTTAGCACTTTCTTCAGTGATATTTATATTTCTATTGATATTGGTCTATTTATCTCCAATCATTGACATTTACATTGACTGTATGTGATTCTCAGCCTTATTTGTTTTTCTGTTTAAAGCTTTAAAAACTTAAAATACATTTGAATCAGTTTAAAAAGTCATTAATTTATTAATTTTAAGGCATGAATCTTGATCATTGTAATAGACAGTGTTATCTCTCCATCTGTAGCTGAGCCAGGCCGTCCGCTGGCTCCTGGGCCGCTCTCCACCCGCCCCCCCTCTGTCCTGTCGGACCCTGGTGCAGCTCATCGAGGCCAGTTTGAGTCAAGAGTTCTGTCCCAGAGTTTACTCCAACCGGCAGAATCGTGCCGCCGTGCAGCTTCCCTGGCAGGAGGCGGCGCCCGTCGTCCATCTGTATAACGCCGTCCTGGCTCACGTTGCTGATAGAGTCTGCTCCAGGAATCTCTCTGACCTTTCCTGGCCTCCTGCCGAGTTCAGCCAGCCTGAAACCAGAGAGTTTATCCCTTATCTGGGCTGGAACTCTGAGCAGCATCTTTCATGGCTCCGTGCGGTTATCCTCAGCCTGCTGCTGCCGGAGTGGGAGGAAATACCTGCTGCAGGTAGGAGAGCAATAAAGTTTAGAACTAAAAACACAGAATGAGTGATTTAAGGTTATTTAGTCCGTCGCTCTTTCTTTCCACTCAGACTCCTGGTCGGACATCTGCTCCTCCATCTTTCGTTACGCTTCTAAGATCCCAGCTTCCCGTCACAGTCAGCCGCTCCTCATGTCGCGACTGGAGAACCTTCTGGAAAAGGTCAGATTAAAGGCTCAACTCCCCCAACCCAACAGATCAAGGCTAACTGGTGGAAATATGGACCTGGAAGAGTCGAGGATTTGCTCAGCCTTCAGACTGATTCCATGGGATGATGTTGTGCTGATCTTCATCGACCACAAACTGAAAGACTGGCATCCGCCCGGACCTCCTGCCTGTCCAGGTAAAAACCCAAACATGCAGACCAGACCGGTCCTGAACCTCCTCTTACCTCGTAATCACTTTCCTCTAGAAATCTAAACTTCCCTGCTTTCTGATAAAGGGACCTTAATAAATATATCTATAGACCTTCAGGTCTGTTGGATTTAACTTCTTTTTTTTTTTGCACGAATATATTTATATGAATTTTCACTCAGACATTTTCTCCCTCTAGCCACCCATCCATGCAGCTATTCATTGATGCATCTGTCTGACTATCTATGCGTCGTCTATAGGTGTTATATTCGTCCATCATGCTTCCAGTCCTTAATACAGGGTTTCCGCGGGTCATTAAAAAATATAAGTCACTAAATTATTATTTTTTAAATGAAGACCTTCATTTGCATTAAAATGTATTAAATGTGAATATTGTGGCATTTAAAATGCTTAAAAAAATTGTTTCTATAAGCAATTTAATCCGATATGTTATATCAGATATAACTGATTCCGCATGTTTGCGCGGAACTGCTTCCGGTTGATCGTCAAGCCGCATGTTTGGAAAAGAAGCTCGAGGCGGAGAAAAAGCTGCTTGTTGATGGCATAAAATTTTTTTCTAAAAGCATTAAAAAGCATCAAATTAGGCTTACTCATTCCTGTAAAAACCCTGTAATAATACACCAATTCGTCCCTATCTGACTCTCCTTTCATCTATTTCTCCCTCCTTCCTGGATTTAGTTTATTTCCTCTCTGTAGCTTCCCAGCGGCTGAATGTTATACAGAGATCAGGAGGTTTAATCACTTGTTCTGATGTTTTTCCTCCTTTTTTTTTTTAAAGACGCAGTGACGGAGGACGGGGAGATCCTGGTTTACTTCCCCACAGGTTCTCTAGAGGGTTTCAGACCTCCTGCAGAGTGGACGCAGGCCGTGGAAAAAACCCACCTAGAGAAACAGCAGGAGAGAGACCGGTGAGGAAGCCGCATGGATCCACTTCATTAGCTTTTATTCAGATTAAGGCTTTCAATAAAATATTTCCAGAAGCATTAAGGTTTGTTAGAGGAGGAGAAACATGTCTGAGATGTTCTTTGTTCCTTAAATACCTTCTTTACAGGTGGTAGTTTTATATTTGGTCGATTTAGAAAAGGGGATGAGGATGATAAGGAGGCTCTGGTCCAGATTTTCAGATGTCCTGACCGTCGTGCCTGCATAGTTACATGACGTCCAGATAGAAACCTTCCATCGATCTGCCAGATCTATTGGGTCAGGGCCATTCTGGGCGGGTTTAGAGATAACCCCGATCGCTATTAAAGAAGGAGAAATTTGGTCCCTGGACACAGCTGGTTGATGCAGAACAAGACTTTTTATTTAAATTAGGGCAAAATTACTAAAGAAATGAACTGTATAGGCAGAGACTTTAGTGTGTCCAAATATGCTCTAAATTGATTTAATAAAGTTGTCTGAATAAAAAGAAAGCTCTTGTTTTTTTCTATTTAGCCAAAAGAACTGGAGTAAAACTTTTACAGTCTTTGGATCATTTTCCTTTAAAAAAAAATCTTTTCAATTGCAATTTTTTTAATTGAAATGTGTTAAAAGTTTGTATCTGTTTCTTTATTTCTCCCCTCCTGCTCCGATTCAGAGTGACTCAGCCTTCCTGCACTCCGCCTCCTGCTCCTTTCTTCAGACAGAAGTTGTTCTGCAGCTTGGTGGAGGCCCCTGAGACACCGAGGGCCCCTCTAGACATCACACACACTCCCACAGCAGAGGAGCTGCTGGCCCACAAAGTCCTTCAGAGCTTGGAAGAAGAAAAGGTTGAAAGCAAGAGGTACAGATCAGTGACTGATGCTGGATGTGCGGAAATTGACCTTAAATATTTTTGCTGGTTTCATTCATTTTATTAATGTAATCATAAAAATTATTTCATTTCCCTTTGGGATCAGTCCACCATTTGAGTTGAATTGAATTAATCCTCACTAACAGAAACTTCAGATTAAAAACAATTTTACAATTTCAAACCTTTGCAATTAAGCCTTAGACTGGCCCTGTGGCTCTGAAACTGGGACCAGTTTGATCCTAAAATCAGTGAAAGTTTTTGTATTTATTCTGAATAGAATGAAGATTTCACTCACCTAAAATGTAATTAAAGTAATCTGTATTCAATGTTGGATCAAACTTAGACTTAGACAACATTTATTGTCATTTTATATACGCAGAGTGTATACAAAACAAAATTTCATTTAGTACAGCTTTAAAGACAGTAATTGAACTTTTCCATTCCATAAAGTGCAGCCGTGATCAAATGTAAAAAGTGTGGGAGGAAAAAAAGCCAGGTTCATTTTCAGTCTCTAAGTGTTTCGGTCGGTCCAGAAGCCCTTTGTCACAATAACAAATCCAAAGCCAACTTCAGGCCCTGATGCTGTTTTAGGAACCATTGGGCAAAAAACAGGAATCTGACCTGGAAATGTTATAGGAAGCTTCAGGTTCGTTTTCTTAGTTTTATGTTGTTTTTTAGACATAATTAGAGACTTGAAATTGCAAATTGCTTTTTGGTCAATTAATTCCTGTTTGTTTTGGTAAATCTGTGGATTCAGGGAACTTGGTCTCCTGGAGCACCATCCATCCCTCAGCTCCTTCCTAATGCTCCTATATAGCTATAGATGGACCTTCCACCACTCTTGGTCTTTAAAAAAGATCCTACCTGGGAAAATGCACCTTATCTCAGCAGAACCTCCCTTGTTCTGTTTAGGTTTATAGAGATTGTGGTGATCTCTGAGTAAATATCTGTATCAGAAGAACTGAAATGCTCCAAACGTCTAAAAACATCTGGATCAGAAAAGTGATCATCCACAAATCTGGATCAGATTCTCTAGAACTGTTTTGCAGTTATCTGGTGTCATTTTACCGCTCCCTCTGTGCAGGAGCTTGGAGCAGCTGCAGCGCTGGCTGGATGGTGACCCGTTGGACCAGTTGTCCACTCCGCTCTTCATCCCGTCCTCCACCCTACTCTCCTCACCCACCATGAAAGCTTCTCCCTCAGGCAGGACGCAAGCTGCAGCAGAGACACAGGTTTCCTCTTTTTTTTTTATATAAATCCTTTATAAGCCGCTTTATGGAGCCTTCTTCTCAACCTCTTTCCTATTTTTCCTGTATTGTTTTTTTTTCATCAGGACCTCCAGAGGCCTGAGCTGGATGAGCATGTGGACAGGCCTTCCTGGTCCAAACCGCCTCGTGTTCCTCTGGCTCAGAGACTGAAGGATTTGGAGCGTCAGGTTCTGGCGAGCAGAGAAGAGGAGCTGGCCTGGAGGTTCAAGCTGAGTGGGTTGCTGAGCATCGTGGACGACTGAAGATTTTTTTAGGTTTTTAGATGGCACCCTCTGAAGAAATAAAATCTGGTTTTTAACCAATACTGTGTTCATTTTAATTTGGTTTAGTGCCTTTTTAGTCAAAGTCAGCATCGTTTCTTTTATTAGACCAATGTAATGTTTTATTAAAGTACTGAAGTGGTTTTGTTTTTCATTTTGTGCAAATATTGAATAAAGAAATATTTTTATGTAAACATTCAATTTGTTCTTTCATCAGTTCATTGATGAGAACTTGTGACTTTTTAAATGCAAGGAGGGATTTGATTGGACAGTTTAGGGCTAATAATAATTGAACTTTATTGATCTCACATTGGAGAAATTTACCTCTGCGTTTAACTCAGAGAGCCAGAGTGGCAGTCTGTGGGAGTGGGTTTGAACTCGGAGCCTCAGAATTCCAATCTCTATGCTCTAACCCCTAGGCCATCACTCCCCTTGAAATAAAAATAAATAGACTGCTGGGAGATGTGTTTATTTCTGTGGAACATCAGTTTTAAACAGTTCCTAACTCCTCTTTCAATGGCCTGTAGGTCAGGATCTTCTTAAAAAGCAGCAGATGTATGGATTTATCCATCATACTTGCTCTTATAGGTGTGACCCATGCAAGCAAAGGTTTCCAGACCATACCACGTCCCGTATGTAAAGCAAACTCCCCAGGATCTGAGGAACGACCACAACACTGAATAAAGAGCTGCTGGTTATTTGTTAGGGGCTAAAACTACAAGTCATGGCTCAACCTTCCCATGATCCATCAGTCCTCTGAACCCTCCTGCAGTAATCAAGACCTTCCCTTAGAGTGGATCTGAGAGAGAAACAAGACTTTTTCTGTTTACTTTGGATTTTGGTTGCATTTCACCATAAGGTCTGTCAGTCGGGCACAAAAAGAATAACCACTCAGTTTCTACATAATTGATTTTTT